TGTAGCGCGAATAGTGATCATACTAATGGTTACAAATGCACAGGTTGCACTTATGGTTCCGATGTGCCCAATGGAATTTGTCCTGGTAAGTGCCCATTATCTTAGGCAAAGCCGACATCTTTTCCTTCACCTTCTTTCTCAGGCAATCCCTGTACTGTCGGACAGATTCAATGCGGCCCACAGCGTATTGGTGGCATTTGTAAAGCAAAGGGTGATGGGACTGCAAGTTATATATGCAACCTTTGTAGTTTTGGCGGCGACGTGAATGACAAACCATGCCCAGGTAAGTGGTCATTGTCTGCTCAGAAGGCAAAATCTTTTTTCACCACTCTCTTCTTTAGACGATCCCTGTGCTACCCCAGGACAATGCGGTCTACAACGTCAAGGTGCCACTTGTACATCGAAGGGTGATGGAACCGCAAGTTATACATGCAACCTTTGCAGTTTTGGCAGCGACGCGAACAATGGACCATGCCCAGGTGAGTGATCATTGTTTGCCCAGAAGGCAAAATCTTTTTCACCACTCTCTTCTTTAGGCGATCCCTGTGCTACCCCAGGGCAATGCGGTTCACAACGTCAAGGTGCCAATTGTACATCGAAGGGTAATGGAACCGCAAGTTATGCATGCAACCTTTGTAGTTTTGGCGGAGACGTGAATGACAAACCATGCCCAGGTAAGTGGTGACTGCCTGTCGAAGAAAAACGGGACATCTTTTCCTTAACGGTCTTTTACAGGTAATCCATGTACTGTCCAATCGATTCAATGCGGCGCACAACGTGTAGGTGGAAGTTGTTCACCGACAGGTGATGGGACCACAAGTTATACGTGCACAAAATGTAGTTATGGTGCTGATGTTATGAACGGAGTTTGTGCAGGTAAGTCACCATTGTTTACACAAAATAGGATATCTTTACCTCTGCTCGCTTCCTTAGGTGATCCTTGTATTGTCCAATCGATTCAATGCGGCACACAACAAACTGGTGGCAGTTGTAAAGCGACGGGTGATGGCACTACAAGTTATACATGCACGGGCTGTACTTATAGTGCCGATGTAACCGATGGATCGTGTCCAGGTAAGTGATTATACTCTGTTCAAGACAAAATAGCATTTTCTTCTATAGGCAATCCGT